CGATGCCAGGAACCCCTAGTAGCGTCCTTGCTCCTAGTAGCGATGCCCTTTGTTCCTAGTAGCGTTGGGTATGTTGTATATTTATACATTATACAATTGACATGCCTGTTACCTCGCCTCCCAAAACTACGGAGTGCGCTTTGCCACGGACGGTTCAAACTTGTTGTTTTGCTGGTCTACTGTTTGTCCACATCTGTGTTGTTGTTGCACGAGTTGTTTTCTTTCTGTAAGGTGGTTGGTTTCGCTTTGAATGGTGACTTGGAGAGGAGGAACCTCGTTGTGACTTTGAGGGCTTCTTTGAAGAACAAATGTCAGGTGATTCTTGTCAGCTTTGAAGCCTTTGTGGTTGGAATCAGTGCCAATGCTGGTACCCTGGGTCATTTGGTCTAGAAGTCTCGTGCTCAGGAGTCAGTGATATAATGTTGAGACAGGGTTAATCAACCCACCCGATTAGTTGGGTCCGCCTCGGGGCCTCCAAGACTTAACCCCCCCTATGAGTTTGGTCCACCGTTTTTGGTACCATTTTCTTTCAATACTAACTGCCTTTCTTGCCTTGGCGGCCACCCTCCACTTCCACCAATTAAGTAGCATGGTTGGACCAATCCCTCATCTGTACCTCTGACCTTGTTGACCTTCCATGTTGGGAGCTAACTCCAATGATTCACCAAACTCCAATAACTCAAAACTCCAACCACTGCACTCCTATATGCCTATATCATATCAGAATGATCCTGTTGCTCCTGCCTCATGGTCGGCTCATACCTCATGGTCGACCCATCTCTTCATAAGAATCTCATGGCTCTTGATCTGGCCACAGATCACCCCGAAGCACCTAGAGACCTAGAATCCCAAAACCACCCCAGAAAATCCTTTGCAAAATTCTTTGTAAAACCCTACCCCAAAAATCCTGTTTCAAGCTCCCAAAGGGGGCCCCCATAATCCCTCTATTCATGCCCACCCCAATTGATTTGGTCTTTCTCCGGCCTTGCTCAAAAATATGCAATCGTTTATGCATTGCCTAATCACACAATTGATCAATTCACCACCAAAAAACCTCCTCATGAAGAGATTTAGCCTTGGGGATCCTTCCTCATGAAGAGAATTAGTTATGGGATACTTCATTAGTCTTGGGGATCCTTCCTGATGAAAAGGTTTAGTCCTCATGCAGAGATTTAGTCTTTGGAGCCTCTCCTCAAGAAGAGATTTAGTCTTGGTGACCTCCCCTGATTGATCGCTCCCATTGAACCAGAATTGAACTGTTCTGACCCCCCAAATAACAAACCTTCTTGGGGAGGTTGATTAATCCAGTCTCGACATGACTGTAAATGGAAGGGTGGACCTGGTGCTGGGCTCCTCCAGGATTCCGGCTCTGGAAGCCTACAGATCCCTCAGGCGCGTGGTTTCGACCGGGTGCACAGCTGAAAGCGGCGAAGTGGGTTCGGGCGGTGAAAGGAGCCACCAGATTGAGCTGGGTCATGTTATTTCGTGGCGAACAGCAATAGCCCTGTGGCGAAGCATCCTGAATCATCCGGAACCCTGAAGACAGGACTTTGATGGCTAAGTTACAGTGTTTCCGAGCGCCTCGTTTGATTTGGATGCATGTCATGGATCAACTCCCAATTGTCTTTAATGGAGCGAGATACCAGGAGCGGCGTGATAGAGATCCAATGGATTTGTAGCACTCTCAGGGCGTCCCTAAGGCCGCTCCAGAGGCATGCTTTGGCAAGAGGCAGAATATGCATAGAATGAATGAACCAAAAGGGGTGGTGAAGTAAAACGCTTCTTAACCTCCTTTCAGAAGGCTGGTGAATTGCGCCACCCCGTGTTCAAAGGCCCGTTTCTTCGGTTTGGGTCGCCCGTTCTTCGTGACACTGGCAGGATCGACCCGACGTGACGAACAGAAGTTCTGTTCGGTCCAAGGAGCGGCACGGGCACCGTTCGACTCGTCCGGTGGGCATTGGCTCATCGGCAGCAGCGGTGGTTTTGAGGGTGTAAGGGTTTTGGAATGGTTTGGGTCTCCTGTTTGGGGTCCTTTCTTTTTCCAGAAGTCGTCAGAAGACATGAGTTTATAATAGTTATATAATGACATGTGGGATGATGCTCCTTGAATATATAGTTTGGTCGCTTGCAATGAATGATCGAGCTTTCATGAGTCATGAGATGGCATGAGCTTCCGTGTTCCAGGCGGATGTGGAAAGCTGTACCTTGTGAATCCTTTTGAGATCTTTTGGAGATGTAAGAGTCATGGCATGACAATGGCACGACATGTTCTTCTCAGCCCCCTTGGATGAAAGCAGCCCCTTCTTTTCCACAAAATGGGTTCCAATACATGCAAAAGGATGCGACAGGTAAAGGTCGTTTACACGCATGTAGTAGAATCCATTTTACCGGGCCGCATGACGGAGCCTTTCGTCTGGATGCCAACACTGGTTCCGCCGTAGACGAGTCGTACGGGTGCGAAAGACCAGGACCTGGGTCGATTGGATTGGTGGACGAACCGTCGCTGGGGGTGCTCAAACCTGCCAACCTCGCCAGGACGCAGAAGCCTCGAGTCTAAGACGGGACTCTGCCAAAGACTACTTACAGGTGCGCGGGCCAACTTTGATGCAATTGGATCGTTTGCTCAACTGAATGAGCATTGAATCAGAAACTGGCTCAACCGATGCATTAGCGCTTTACCTCATTAGCCCTTTAGTGCAGAAACAACGTATTACAGTAGACAACTTTGGCCATACTTAGGTGTTCACAAAGACTCAAAAATGCAGGTACACATCAGGACGTCTCCCGATGCTTCGCCGGAGAATGTGGACGTCTTTGTTGGCAGTGATTCCACAAACTCTGTCACTGCCCCCTGCTTAAAACACTTGACCTCAAACCCTTGGGAACAGGGTGTGACACACACATGAAAGAAGTTCACAGGAGCTGGAAACAATCCAGCAAATTTGATTTATTTGGAGTTCCGGGCTCAGTAGATTTCTCAATTGGGGGCGGCGCTGGTGTTGGTTTAGACCGGTGTTCAGGGCGCTCCCGTCTTCAGTAGTTAATGCTGCACCCCCACAGAGTTGCTCCTGTTTGCTCCGACGACTGCACGGCGTTGATGGCAAGGCCGAGCAAATCATATTTCAAGACTGCTCCGTTTGCCCCTGATTTCAAAATGGAAGTTCAGTCTCGTTCTGCGCGACGTCTATTTTTTGCAAAGAAGCACTCTTTTCTCGTTCTGCGCGTTTGAGGTCCTGGCGTGTTTTGTTCCCCAGACGAAGAGGTCTCCAGGCACCAGGCTTCCAGAAACATTCAGAACCGTTGAACCAAACAATGCTAAGAATGGGAAAGAGGCTGCTGCGGTACAAAGTATGTGCCTTGTTGGGAGAACTGCCATGCTAAGATGACAAAGAAGTTAAAATTGACAGGACTCACAACTGGATGAATTCAAAGGCCCATTTGATCCATCAACAGCTATATAATATGCTATATAAATGCTATACACTATCAGCTACTACGGGGGGCGGTTGCGGTGCGGTCCACCGGGCGGCGCTATCTCCTGCCGCGCGGTTGAGGCGGCCAGGCAGCTGGCGTACACGGGTAGCCAACGAAGTCAGACGAGTCAACGGAGCCAGCGGAGCAGTCAGCCGTCCAAGAGGAGCTGGTCTTCCTCGCAATCCCTGGATGAAGCTGGCAAGGACCGAGGGGCGTTTTGAGGCGGAGAGGACACATCTGAAATTCAGGTGTTTCTTCAAGTGTTTTGACTAGATTAGGGCCAGGGATGGTGCTGGACATGTGGGGCATGAAGGAAAGACAGGATTTTGAAAAGACTAGACTTAGTGACTTAGTGTCTAGACTAGAGAATGATGGAACCAACAGACATTGTTGGGTTTTTCTTGTGAGTCAACTGGTTTGTGATTCTAGTTCCCACTCACTTAAGGGTACCAGTGATCCGTTGGCGTACTCTAGCAGAGAGATATTGTTTCATTCCTGAAGCCCAGATAGGAAGGTGCAGGTATTTCTCCACCATGAAACGGCAACGTTTAAGGCAACCTGTTTACTTTGAACAGCTCGCCGTGACCGTATCCACGAGCAGCGAAACCGCTGGTGGCCGACCTGCCGACCTGCACGGTGAGAAACGCCGAAACGGGGGCATTGGCATTGGTGGATTGAGAGCGCAAAGACATTGAGAGCGCAGAGATACACCTACTCGTTCAGCTCCGAAATCCCAATTGGTCCATCTCATGCCGAAAAACTCATGCAATTCAACTGCAATTGGTCCATCTCTCTCAGGGAGCTGATCCTCCACCGGCAAATACCCACAAATGGACCTTTGCTCTGCCACCGCACCGGTGTTTCGGTGACTTGAAGGGCTCAGGTCGGACGGTCGTGATGAAGATGGAGCACCCTCCCATGGGAGCCCGGTAGTACCGTAGTGATTTGCCCAAGTTTGGTGATGAGGTTTGGTCATGAAATGTAATGGACTGAAAGTCGAGAAGTGTCAATGAGGGTTCTGGGGTATCTCACTTTAGGTCCTCCTGAGCATCCGGGGACACCGCTTGATACTTGTATCTCTAAAACCAAGTATATACAAAGTTTGTCTTTAGAAGGTCCACTTTCCATGCAGGTGAATCCAGCATTGCAATTCCTATTCCCAGATCATCTGACAAGCATATGGGTGTGTGTTAAAATGTGAGAGAAGGAACATAGATCAAAACATAGTTGGGAGGTCCCCTATTACGATACAAAACCGATTGGTGTGTCTACTCACGGCCCGACCGGGGAGAGCAGCTCTGTGCGCGCGAAAAGGACAGCGGCAGGCGGTTGAGGACGACCGCCCGAAAGGAAAAGAAGGACAAACGCAGCAGCAAGGCCGCGTCATCTCAGTGGTGGCCGTTTTAGGAGGTCCCCAGTGTGTACTTTTAATATCTTTTAATTAATATGGAGATCCCCAACCAATGAGTTTCGATCTATGTTCCTTCTTCCAGGGGATCTTTGGGAGATCTCAGATCTCCCTATTTCAATATTACACTCATATAACTGGGATTTCTTGCTTTGGTTTTGACCTTCAGGGTCATGTGACGCCAGCGACTGAGGGGACAGACGAACAAATCGCCATGGGCCCCTCTCTCAGGCTCTATGGCTTGTTCCGGGAAGAACATGAATGAAACAGACACATCTTCACATGGTATAGTAGCTGTATAGATATATTATATATATAGATATATTATATATTATATAGTATACTATATAGTGTATGTCTACAATAGATATATTTTATAACTCCAGGTGTGTAGTATGACACATGTCATGTACTGGATCTGAGCGTGCAGCTCTTGGTGTATGATCCTGGAAGCTCAGGAGCAGACAGTCCGGACGAACACTAACAGTCACGCAGTCACGGTTACGAAACACATGTGAAGAAGGCTGCGCACGTTTTGGGACTCGGGTTGTTGCTTCCAAGCTACTATGATTCACACAACCTGAACAACTTTCTTTCTTCCTGCACTTGTCAGTCTCAGGAGTAAAAGATCATTGACCTGGTTTGTCCCGCACAGATACTTGATTTCAGCACCCTGTTTTCCATCGTTTGGCAATCCCTCGTCCATCCCTCACCACTCCGAGATCCCGCTGTCATCGACGGGTCATTTGCCTGGGCTAGCATCAACTCCGGTCCAAAGATGTCTAATGTGCATGCTTGCTGACTCGAAGAAGCACTGAAGATACGTAAATCCATCGGATGTGGGAAACGACTCCAACTTTTCGTGGACATGGAACCCCCTCTTCCCCGATAGAGCATCTTCAACTTCTGTGAGAAACCTGGCTGTAACCTGGCATAAGTCAGTGTGTTACTTACTCCAATTCGATTCATTGGAGCGCAACATGGCGGTTGATCCATCGCCCCCCTCACAGGCGCGGGATTCGCCGGGCTCGGGGCGGGACAGCCACTTCCTCAGCTTGGCGGATGCGTCGGAGGTGCCCGGGAATTCTGCGTTTGGGGGGCCACGCTCGGCGGAGGTGCTTGGTCCATGGAAAAGAATAAAATACCAAGAGTTTAAAGTTCAAAGGGGTGCCTATTGAAGGGTAGGGGTGCCCAATCATTGTCCACTCACTTAGGGACTAAAAACCCTTCCTTTGCAACTGCTGGTAGATACACTCTCCCAAACATACAGGAGGATTTGCAACTGGAGGGCTTGGAAGACGATGCTTTTCTGGTCACAAGAGATGTGGGCGTAGAGAATTGGAAGACCAATGTCAGCCAATGTCAACTAATGGATCGAAGGACAAGGAGTCTTAGAGAGGTCAGAAACCAAAGTGATAGACCTTCATCCAGATAGTCCTGTTGCAACCAGTAATTGTATATAGTGATAACATGTGATAACACAAGAAAACAAACGCAAACAACATAGCTCAGGGTTGACCTCACACAAGAAGCGCTTGAACATGATTCCACAGTTGCTGTTCCTTCTCCTTTTGCCACCTGCGGCCTTGCATCTCAACTGCTACGTTACTACTAGTAACAAGTGCCACGCTAGTAGTAACAGGTGCCTTACTACTAGTAACAAAGAAGCTATTAGAATTAAATTTAAACTAAATTAACAGCTTCTTGTCACTACTAGTAAGGCACCTGTTACTATTAGCGTGGCACTTGTTTCTAATAGCTTCTTGTCACTACTAGTAAGGCACCTGTTACTATTAGCGTGGCACTTGTTTCTAATAGCTTCTTGTCACTACTAGTAAGGCACCTGTTACTATTAGTAAGGCACTTATTTCTAGTAGCAAGCATTCGAGTCATTGTTCACCCAAAAGAACATGTAAGCAGCCCCCAAAATCCAGCAGAATGAATATAGGGCTAATGCAACTAAGATGCTTTGGGCGAAGACTTTAAAAAGGCAACTGAGGAGTCAGTGCGATGTTGGGTCGCCAAAGCCCTGAGAAGCAAGAAACTTGGGAAAGCTTTGTGAAACACTGAAACCACTCCGCCGTGTTTTTGGGCGGCGAGATCTATTGTTGAAACCTACATGACGTACAAATATGAAAGACATGTTAAAGCTGTAATAAAACTTGAATTTTGCTAAGTGTTCTTTCAACACCGCTCGCTCATATGCATGTTGTTTATTCTTTTTTGGCCTCCTCGACTTGCTTTGTTTGCTTTGTGTTGTCCATTGCAAGCAACAAAAATAATGACACATCAGGTGCAATTGATTCATCAATCAAGGAAAATGGGACGAAGCGACGCCTTTCCGGTCATTTTTGTTCTTTCCTATCGCGAAGTCCTGTCTTTCAATCGTATGAGCCCGAGTTCCACTTCCCACTTCTGGAAGTAAAAGGAGTTTCGTCCAAGGTCACTTTTCTGCCAGCTGTGGATTAAACAATGGAAACAACTTTGCGAACTCACTGCCTGTCTGTCCCCCCTCCGGCCGTTCTGTTTCCTCACTCCAAAAAGAAGGCCCGGTCACGCAACCCGAAGATCGACCCGTCGATCGGTTCGATCAACGATCTCGGCGGACAGCTATAGGCTATAGGGGCTCCTGGCCTTATTACTAGGAACAAGAAGCTATTAGGGGCTCCTGGCCTTACTACTAGGAGCAAGGACGCTACTAGGGGCTCTAAGCAGAAAGCTCTAGGGGCGCCCCGGCATCTCGGAGCTCGCCCTCCGGGGCTTGGACTCGGTGCTGCGGCGACCGGCCGCGCGGTTGAAGGGCGTCGACGTCGGTGGGTCGGTCGCCATTTCTTTTGGTGGAAGAGTGGCGGTTAGGGGGGTTCGTCTCTAGAATAACATGAAGTAATTAGACCTTTATTTATTTAAAGGAATGTCTTAATGTAGACTGTTGCAATGAAAACAACAATAACACATGAAAAGGTTGACGATCCAAATGGGATGGTTTAATTGATAGACAGTACTTTAAAAGGGCAAAGATCTTCAGCCCACTTCAAAACCCCGGGTCCTGGGGCTCGCCACATCTGCCCATTTCACCACCTCAGCGCCCAGCTACCATCTACGGAGGTCGAGCAGTAGCTGTCTCTTTGACTCGAAACAACTGCGATGAGTTTTCTGGTGTTTTTTGTCCCCAGATCATCCTTTAATCATTTTCATAGGGTAAATGTATGCAACTATTCCAGTCCCATGGATGGTCTGGGTTTGCAAAACTCTTGCGGTTTACAAATTTGGTCCATGTTTCATGTTTCTACATCCCCGAAGCTCAGTAAGAAATTGAACTCCTTTTTGTTCACTGCAGTATGACACAGTACACATATATAATCATATATATATATATTACATATATATATATATATGTGAATGGTGTGGGTGAGACTCCACCAGTCCTAGTCATCAATCGGAAAAGAAGTCGCTTTACCCATTGGTCTCCGTGCTGAAACATGTACGCCCAAATCACAGAATCGCACGTTCTGCACGTTTTTTGACCACCAGTTTCACGGCTACAGTCAAGGATACCTTTCTTTCTTGGTGTTTTTCGAAGTCGGGCATGGGGGTGTTCATCAGATCTTCCTCTTCTGGAGCGTACACATGCATCACTCACATGGACTCCGACTCTCCTATTACAGAAGTGGATGGCATGGGCCATCATGGACCCCTTGAACTCCCGAAGATTTTCCAGTGAGAAACGGGAAATCCATGCCGTTTTTGTTTGTGGATAGTGGATAGATCCATGTTTCATGTGCCATCCCAGTTTCTTCATGGCATGCTTGGCATCCACCAAGCCATCCAAGGGGGACAGCTCGCCATCGTTGGTGTTCTCCCATTCGTTGCTGAGTTTGAGCCTTCAGAGACTCAGTTCTTCAAGGGACTCGGGACTCAGGGTGAGGACGATGAAGTCAAAACTGGGGACGAGGGTTCCACCCAAACGCTGCGACTTCGGACACTGGATGAGGGCTCCTTTGTTTTCAAGTCTGCTTGGAGCAACATGTAACATGGAGGATGAACCATGATGAACCCCTGGAGTTGCTGGGGGTACTTGTAAGCTTCAGAAAGCAGTGAGATGTGGTGTCCCATAATATAGATCGATATACTATATATATATATATTATATAAAGAAATACAGATAGGTTGATTGATTGATAGATTGATAGATAGAAAAAGACAATGGTTTCGCATACTAGTTGCACAGCCTCAGCAGGTAAGAATGGTCAAAGACGAAGCCAGTCCTAGTTTTCCGCCTTTGAGGCTCCCTTGCACAAAGAATGGCACGAGAAACGCAAATACTTGGTCAGTAGAGAAGTGACACATGCGTCATTCGACATTCGCAAATCTTTAGGTAGCCAATTGAATGTTTTGTTGGAGTCAGTTGTGGACTTTGGCTGCTCATCCTTTGTTTGCTCCAAGTGGGTTTTTTGGTTCCTTCATGCTGTTCTTGGGCTCATAGCCATTACGTATCATTCCACTTGATCTATTTTGGAAGTCAAGATGACTCGAAGATTGTCGCTTCCCCATGCTGCACTCCTTCCGCAGTTTGCCTTCTACCCAGGACCGATGAGTCCTTCCACCGCCGAGCCCGATGCGAGAAGGACCGCCGAAGCCGGAGCGACCGAACGCGCGGCTTCGCCACCGGCGCGACCTCAACTACACCGAAGCGAGTCTTTGGAATTTCCGGGATCCACTGGTGGTTGTGGTCAGAGTCATAGTGGATACGGCGCTTATTTGATGGAGGGGATCTAGAATCTTGGATCATCAACTATATCCAAAACCGTTTTTACCGGTGCAACATGTTGCCATCAAGGGTAGCAGTCAAGGCCAAAACACATAAGCACCAGCACAGTAGAGAAGAATCCAACGACGTAGATATGATATGTCCGTACTGCAGATATATATATATATCATATATATATAATAATAGTAATAGTAATAATTATATTTATATATTATTAGTTAGTTTATGTTCTACGTGTTGGTTTCATTTAGGGTTGCGGGGTGCGTCACCACCATTACTGTAACGCTACAAGCCCCTCAGAAAGATAATACATATTATGTAAGACCTGTAATATTGTCTATATGATGTATTATCCATCAAAGAAGTAGAATGTCAACAAGCTTGTGTTACGGGCTTTAGACTGTTTACGCCCCTGGCCCCTTGTAAGCCGCTGCCAGAGTTGCTCCGACAGATGGTCGTGGCTTGACGTGCAACGCGACGATTTGATGTTTGGAAATATATGTAAACTTTGCTTTCTTGTACATAAATATATATATATACGTATATATATATATCTATAGACGTGTCCATGTTTCCGTACTTTTCCCTTTCTGTATTTTCCTCCAAACAATTTAACATTCCGGTAATTACTTCTTCTACTGTATACTTGTTTATATATATATATGCACATTGCTTTCTTGTGTAGTGCTTTCTTGTCTTTCGTCTAGAGTCTAGAACCTTTTCTTTCGCTGAATCAGCCTTGCCAATGTATTTGTCAAACCTGCACTTGCATTCCCCGAACTGTAATCCTGAGAGCCCAATTATTTGGCCGCCACTTTGAGACGACGGACATAGGGAGTTGGGTTGGCCGTAGTTTGCAGTGTCAATTTGTTTGTCAAGTTGTACATGTTAAAGCTCAGAATATCTTCATGCTGTATTACCACCTTGGGTTGGATTTGTCATGTGGATCCCTTTCGGGCCTTTGGGAGAGGTTTGTTCACATTGAAGCAAGCCAACCGGAATATACACAAATGTTCCAACACATGTGTAGTACAGAAATCTGGCCGTCGCTAGTAGGTTGGAGGCCATCGCTAGTAGTTACATGTTGTTTGACCAACCAGTTTATCGTTTTAGTCCCGGTCTAGACATGTGACAGGAGATTCAGGTGGATCTCGATGTCACGACCAAGAGCACCAGCACCCAAAACGTTCAGACAGAATTCACTGTGATCGAAGACGACTTCCATTGCAACTTGCAGAGAGATCAGATGATCAAACACTGATCGCGCTGAGGTTTGCTGGGAGTTTGCACGTGTTCTAAAATGTGTCTCTAAGACACAGCTAACAACATGCACAGGATTTGCACTTTGAGAAAGGTCCCTGGTGATGTGATAACGATCTCACACTGATTTGGCCAGGTAGGCCATCCCTGGGAGGTAGGCCATGCTTGGTGACAGAAGACTTGATGTCCGAAGGTCCAGAGTGACAACAGAAGGATTATATTTCATAGTGTTTGGTATAATTTGCTGTAGTTTTGTTTGCATGTGTATATATATATTATATATATAGAGAGAGAGACTTGATGGTCCAATTTCTGCTTGAAAGCCCTCTATGCCATATGCAGTGTTCGTATGTTTTGTCCTCCAATTTTATCCTGCTTGCCAATGTGGCCATGATTTGTCAGACCTATCAAAGAGGAAGGAAGCATCTCAAGCAGTCCATGCGCACATCGCTGATGTTGTTCTGCTTGCAGCTAGGAAATGTACTGTACATGTTTATACTCGCTGAAGCCTTTCTCTTGCTGAATCATTGTGTGCACAAATAAAGAAACCTGTTGGAAGTTTCTACCAGCTGTTGCCCACCCGCTGAGGCTACCATTGCATGTATTCGCGTCCACCCTTGGAAAGATCGCGTAGCCACATGACGGCAGCTTACACCCGCCGCCTTCGGGGCACTCGTTCGACCCGTCGAGTCTGGGTGTTTCCGGAGCCGCATCGGCTGGATGGAGGGACGATGGACACTGAGGGAACGGTTGCCTCGTACGTCGGAAGCGGAAGCAAAGCACTGAGCCTGCCGTGATGAAATTAAGAATAATGATATGAATATACAGGAGCATCCAAATTGATCAGACATCTCATATTGATTTTGTACGGATTATACGTACACGAACATTCATCCTTTTCGCTTCACATCTCCGTTGACCTCTCGGGCATACCGGACCACCGGCTCGTTGCAGGTCAGTCGACCACCTCCTCAAGTAGTGGCTCACTGGCCGGCGATCCTGCCTTCCTCATCCGGGGCGCGCAAGGCACGGTCCGAAGACATGGAGATGATGTTGGGAAGGAAGACATGGAAATACATGGAACTGAGGTGGTTCTTTCCAAGGTCGGGTGCAGTAACTACTGCAGCATTTGTCAAAACGTGTTGGGGGTAGAACAGTTGAACACCAGCTGCAGCTTCTGGGATCAGGTATATTTGTCCAGAGCTTTGCATTTTTTGTTGCATGAAAGACGGCTGGACCGGGTGCCGGTGGTTTCTGATTTGGAGAGCTTGTGGACCTGATCTAAAAAAAACTACCGAGCTGCCTTTGTTTGGCACTGAAGGCTTTGGGATGTTTTGAATGCCGAACTGCCGACACAGAAAACGCACGTCAGACGAGTGCATGAACTTGAAATCCCTATGTGCTTGGGCGCTCTACAGTGTACTCTACAGCATCAAGCGTGTTGGTTTCATATCCTCCATGCATGGAATAGTGACTACACCCTCTTATGTGACGACAACACTGAAGCCACAAATAGAGAAATTCCATAAATGGAAGGCTTGGGGTAGGGTTGTCCAAGAAATATCCCTTCGACCCTCTTCTGCTCTACACATGGCTCGGGAAGGCGGAGTAGTGTCGGGTCAGCACTCCAACTTGGAAATGTGGATCACGGTGTCATACGGTATCATTGAGTTTTACATGGAACATGGAACTAACATGGAACATGGCCTCACAGTGTCCAACATGATCTACAAAACAGATTGTTGACTCCACTTCCATATGATACCTATCCAGGTTTCGTTCCTCCGCACGTGGCTTTCGTTGCTCCGGTCGCTTTGTAGGTCGAAACCTGGCACAAAAACGGCGGCGGAGCTCCGTGATCAACCTGCGGAGGGCCACAGAAGAGTGCCTCGGTTAGAGCAGGTCAGGTCCGCAAAAAAAGACAAAACAAAGGCAGGCCACTCATTTTGAACACAAGGGGATGCCACTCAGATCACGTGGCATCTCTTTTTCCTAGACTTGCCAAGCCCAATGGCTTTGCCTGGCTGGGCCATTCACCAATGACTTAGAATTACTCGAGGTGGCCCAGAAAGTAGATCAGGTTGATGAAAAGCCGGAACAAAGTGGATTGGGAGGATAGGATCGATGATTGCTCTCCAATAACTCACCATCAAACTACCAAGGCTAGACATCGTTGCTTACTGCCACCATATGCTTCAGGGCTGGGTTGGGCCAAATTAATTGACTAAGCGCTTGGTAAGGGTAGCAGTTAGTAAAGCATTTAGTATACCATTCCTGGAAGTTGGTTTGGGAATATTTGTTTTCAATGTTTTTCCATCGAACGCCAATGGCATGAGCAACGATTGACAGGACCATAGGATGAGGGATAGTTCAACTTAAGAGTTCAAAGGTGGTGAAGAGAAATAACATATACTTTTTCGAAAAGCGGCTACTGTTGCAGGAATAACACATGGCCAAGTTGATAGGGGGCCTTCATCCTACCCTGACATTGGGTTTTTGGTAAACTTTGTATGGCCTGGTTTGAACATTGCTCGATTTTAGCATGCTTGCTGGCTTATCATATGCCCAGCTCCTGCATCATGGTGCTTCGATCCCAGGTGTCATTCCAGTCCCTTCTTTTTACAATCAGCAGTTTCTCACCCCAACATCCCAGCATGTTTTAGGAATGTTTCATCCATTTGGACTGGGCCTCCGGGCCTGTGAAGGAATGGAAAATCATCTTCAGCCGACCCAGCTCACAGCAGCTTGGAGTTCTGGAATTGCATTTTTAACATATAATAATTCACCTAGCATGATAGCTCAAGCGGCTCAAGTTTCTTACGCAAGAAGTGTTTTTCAAGGGTACTGGTAACTTCCATGTTTATCAAGTTGTTGCTCTTTTGTTTACATACCTTGAAACGTAAACTCCATCCACACCCGCTTTAGAGCAGGGTACGGTGTTTGCGCACGGCCTCTTTCCCAGTTCGCTCAGGATGCTGTCGAGAGTGTGGCAGGGATCTCGGAGAGGGGTCGGTGTGGGATCTGGAGCTGTTCACTTCGCACTTCTGAATCGTGAAGACGAGGCGCTGATCGTTTATTAAGATATATGTTGCTGATCATAATCCTGAAACATGTTTATCGTTGAGGGCGCTTGGAGATATAAATATATATATACATACAGTTTGCATTACACATGAAGATCGACTCCGAGGTGATCAGGGAGATGTTTTTCTTAGTTCTATGGTGGGTATTTTCGCTTTAGGCGAGGCTTATGGCACATAGTCCAGTGGTTTGAGCACCACCCAGCTGGAACCAGGGAGTCAGTTGTTTTTTTCTACAAGAGGCTTGCTGCATCCAAGTATCCAGCATCATGTTTGCTCTGAGCCATTTGCATCCGGTGTTGGCAGGTAAATCAAATCATTGCAAATGTATTGGAAAAGATGCATGCATATACTGTAGGTGTCGGTTGTAGTTTTGGGGTCTAGGTTTGGACCACATCCATAGATGGGGAGAAGGATGCAACTATTCCAAACACTGCTTATTGATATAAATGATCCAATCCCTAAGCAAATGGATGGCAACGTGCCATTTACTCCATTGCACCAAGAGGATGTTTTGGAGCAACTAGGTAAGTCGATGGAGTTGCAACACAACAGGGCAGGTCTTAGAGAAAAGCGGGTGAATGATTTAGGGCATCCTGCTGTGCTTTGATGAATGACATACTGGTAGCTCCCTGTATCGAGGCTGAAGAGCCCTGGGCGGGACGCAATTCTTCTGTTCTGCGCATGGTTGTTTAATGGGTGGCTGCTTTCAGACCTCTCCGTACCCCGGAGTTTATCCAGTATTCCCCCAAATTCCCCATCAGCATGGTGAATTTGGTCACTTCACTTCACAAGTCAGCAAAAGGACGATCACATTGCTTGCGGGAATCCAGCCTTTCCAATGATCATTCTATATGGGCTCCTGGCATCGCTTCTAGTAACAAGTGCCTTACTAGTAGTAACAAGAAGCTACTAGGAGCAAAGGGCATCGCTACTAGGAGCAAGGACGCTACTAGGGTCAGGATAGGCCTTTCCTTCGTAGCTTTCAGAAACCAATCCAGGTCCGGCGCACACAAGCAGCATGATGTGATGAATCCCGACTTTCTGGACACAGGCGCCCTGTGGTGTTGGAAGCGCAGCAACTGCGCTTTTTGTAAAGAGATCCATCCGAGGAACATGTCGAATCTGCAAGATTCATTTAGTCATTTGGGTCCTTTAAACAGCCAGTGATCATGATTTTGTGTGAAGAGACTTTGGTACTACGTTTGGACCAGATCCTTTCTTCACTCATACAAGATCAATGCACCATGGCCCTGTCGGATTAGAACATGGCCCTGTCGGATTAGAATATGGCCCTGTCGGATGGTCCTTTCTTTGGGTGTGATCTAGGCCATGAGAGACCGACCGTTTCGTCCGAAAGCTGAGTCGGCTTTCCATGTTCATGACGTTCCCCTTCGTTCTTTTGTCGAGCAATTCATGGGGGCCGACTTCAGTGCCGACCGTGTGCCACGTGAAGCCGAGCGGCCTGGACCCAGACCGACCGTGATTCCTTCGGCGCAGGCGCGAAGAATGTGGTGCGTTCGCTGGCACTGCTCTTGAGGCAATGGAACTTGGAATATCCCGCGAATGTGTGCTGCACCTGGTCTGACTGCCCATGTTTTGAGCGGCATTTGGCTTGTTTGGACTGTCGGTGGCGGTCGGTGTACTTTCTTCGGCGCTCGTTGGAGGGCACTGCCAAGTTTGGCCATTGGAGATATGAACTGTTTGTTCCAAATGTCCCAATGTGGGTCTAATGTGTTTGGGGGAAGCTGGGCTGGTGAGGCTTCCAACCTGAATGAAGCAGGTGAAACCGGTCAACTGATCACCAAGAGGAGGGATGTGTCACCCTCCCACCGGCCAAAGCGGGGTTCTGTAGATGTTATTTGTGTTTTTTGCTCAGGCGTTTTCCAAATGCGGCATGTCCCCAGCCCTAGGTAAGTACCACGCCGCCGTGAGCCTTGTGATTTTTCTGCTCAACGGAGCAGCTTGGATTGAAACAACGGGTCAAGGGACTTCTGGAGTCGGTGACCCTGAAACGATGCCGGAATCGACGCGGTGACTGGGCACGAGAAAGCATGGAAACGACCGGATCGAGTGAGGGGTACCGGATCCAGTTCCAAGCAAACAGGATCCTCAATGTCAATATATCATCCATTTTGCCCTGGCAGTCTGGCGGTGTTTCACAAGACATAGTGACATGATTCTTTCGATGGACTGTCAGCAACGTCACTGGGGTTCTAGTGCTTGTATGTGTTTGTGCGAGCACTGATTCACCATGATTCAGTCCCAACAATGTTCATCAGTCTGCTTGAATTAAATGTTTATCAGTGTTTGTGAAGGAAGTGTAGGTCCTGGTCGCGGGGGGGATACGCGACAAAAAAGGGCTTTGTTATGCAACAAAAGGGCTGCATCTGACAAATCTTCCGTACATGTACTTCAGTCATGAGCCGCCTCAAGTATGTCTGATTTGATCAAAACGCAAACCGATCCGTTTGAATCCATGAACGTCTCACCACTTTGGCACCCTAAATGTTACAAAATGAATACTGAAGGTTTTACCACCCAATACTCGTACCACTGTGTCCCTGAATTTCCAGTTCAGGTACTGTAATTATATTGGTAATTAATATAAGATCTCCAGTTTTCTTGGGTCCTGTGAAAGAACGCACGGCTCTGGAGACCAACCCCACGGCATCCGCTTTGGAGACCAGGCCGCTGTCACTGACCCTCCAAAGCGTCCCGGCATCCCGAACCCTTCGCCAAACGACGTGCCTCCGAGGAGCTGCGTGCCAAGTGCAAGAACGAGTGGTGTCTCGGTGGAAGGACTTGATGGACGGGCGGCGACGGTGAGGCAGGTGAAGCAACGACCCGCTTCGACGAAAAACATGTGCGACCACATGAATAATCAAGAAGGTCATAAGAACAATTATATACAAGAACATAAGCACAATTACATAAGCAGATCTACAAATCTCGATCAAAGCTACAGACGTCCTGCCGTGGATCAAGGACATCCTGCACACTCGAGCACTTGCTGCATACCGGATTGAGTTCCGGCACACTCTGGAAGTCTGTTGACTGCGACCTACTCCGATCGAGTATGGACTTGGAGAACTCCCAGAAAATAATGCAACTTCAGGACACATTGACATGTAATCATGCAATTCCAAAGAAACGCCAAGTTCAATTTCCAATAGAAACGGACCATACAATATATAGAGATCACAATATAATTAACAAGCCGTATACAATGCGCACCATATAATACCTATACCCCCTTTGCGATGAGAGAGCTTCGCGTAGAGCCAACGAGCTAAGATGATTTCACGTTCACCTTCTTGGCTCAATTCCTCCATTTATGTTGAATATATTGTTGTTTTGTCTACATTTACCTTTAGTTGGGATATCCTTCTTCTCATGCCATTATTTAATGTTCCTGTTATTGTAAAAGTCCACCTTCCATGCTGGATCGCGTTCCTCCTTGTTTTGCAGGGCCAGGGTGTAGGTAAGAAGGACACAGTTTTCATTGAATATATTCTTTGTGCTGGGCTCTCTATATTCTTAGGCATATGTACATTCATTTGCTAGAATGACGATTTCTTGGCTAAATGGGAAGATAATGCCCCTTCGCATCCAAATGTGTGTTGTTTCCTTTAACAAGTGTTCTTTGCTTACATTCTCACCTTCCTATTTGCTATATAAATTGTTACTGTTCATGTTCCTACTCCAACTCCAGAACTAGATTGAGTGAAGCGCACCCACTTGTTCCTGACATTTACAAAGTGTTGAGTCATGTGTTGGACAAGCAAAACAAGCGAATACACTCCAGTCGGCAAGTTCATGTTTCTCACATATCTTCATGGAGCAGAGTGCCAAGACTCACTTTTACTCAACTCCTTGCACCCATCGCTGTAGTTTCAAGGGCTTAAGCGCTGGCCGCTGGCCTAAGCAATAAGGAGCTGCGGAAGGCCTTTTGTACTGCAGATGCAATCAGAAATGCATTTCACCACAATTCTAAATTCGATGCACGAAAAAACATTCAAATTTTATCTGCAACATACTCCGATCAAAGCCGCGGAGAAACAAGAGGTGAAGATAGGTGAAGCAATTTCAAGCCAGCAAAGCCTTCATTCGTGCTCCGCTCAGTTCTGCAAGGTAGGAAGGGTCAAGGCTATCACACAGGTCACAGCTATCGGCCAGGCAGGCGCCAATTGGATTTGGGTATCCAGTGCTTCGCACGGCCTGACGGCACGATCCAGCTGAGACCAAACCAAAGGAGTCGGGGTCATGGCCCAGGAGTCAGGAAGAAAAAGACCAAAACTTCTGGCTATTGCACATCATTTGTGCCCCAAAAATATTTCTAAGGCCGCTTCTTCTTCGTCTTCTCCTTCTTCATTTCCTGGAGGATCTCGTCCAAAAATATCTGGGCCAACGACTTTGCATCTGAGTGTGTGAAGGCACATCGCGAAGGTGCCGCTCCCAATATTTCAGCAGAGGAAAAACTCTAAATCTTTTCGTGGCTGTATCGGGCCTTATCGGGCCTGATTGAGGAAACATCGCCAAGGGGAGCTTGACAGCATGACAAGCAAACCGCAGCAATTGATTCAGAATGGAACATAGGACCCCTAGCTGGCCTTGCCCCCTCTATAAACCACCCTTTTGCGCTTTTGAGACCACAAACAAAGCCCGGTATATCTCCAAGCACTGCGATATCCCTACGGACCAAGTGAAACGTGTATGTCCGGGCAAACCTCCTGCACTGAGAACAGCAGGGTGGTATCCAGAAACAAAATATGCACCTGACCACATCAGCACAAAAAATGGCTGAACATGGTCTAAAGCAAGAGGCTTGAGAAGGGTATCTGCATCCCTTTGCGCTATGGTTTCAACTATAGCCCGTGTCTAGAATTTGCGTTTTTGCAACCAACCTTTGAATTTGAATTGCGTTACTGAACGCAAACGCATCTGCTGTACAATGTGCTGTACAGGAGGCCTTCTGCAGCTCCTTGTAGCTTAGGCTGGTGCTTAGGCCGCTGAAACTAATGGCGGGCATAGCTATGGGTGCAAGGGGCTGAGTAAGAGTGAGTCTTGGCACTTTGCTCCCGTTTTCAGAAGGTTTCCTCTCTATCCTGGCGACAGTGCACTATCGATGTGAGACTCTTTGCCGCTCTTGCCTCGTGGTTGTTTTGATTTCTTACAGATTGTTTTGCTCTTAAAATGGTTTTACACACTTCAGATGTCCTCTCTGATGTCCTCTCAGGATGCCGAACTCGGGCTGGCAATGCGACCATTGCAACATGTTATTTCCAGAGGTGCGGGACTCGACCGTGTCGTGTGACTCCCAGTCTTCGGGTATTGGACTGGGATGTTTTCTGGCTTTGGGTTGACAATGGCTGTTTTCTTCACACGCTTTGAGGAGAATCCTGCTGCACAGCAGGATCTGCAAAGCAACATTGGCATTTTCTCAGTTCTCATTTGAGCATGCTTTCAACCCCTGTTTTCCTCGCTGGCTCCGCTCGCTTTCTTTGACAGGGGGTTTTGGGTTCTCTATGGAAGACCGAATCCCGCCGGAACTGTTGGCATACCTTTCCTTCTGATGTTGATTTTGGTAGAGGTGGCCACCATGTTCCTGCTTCGTCTTTTATGGCTTACCCACGCAGTGTTTGAATGCCTCGCTTCTGCCGGTTCCTGTCCATTGTTTCTAAAGGATTGAGTCTAAAGGATTGATTCATCACATCCGTGTGGCGGAGGAATCCTTGTTTGTTTGTTTTTTTAAGACTGGGCATATGAATACCAAACACTTCACGTGGAAGTTGGATCATCACATGTTTGGAAGATACACCTAGAGGTCCCGTGACTAGCAACGTGTGCTTTGCATTGTTTCCTCAACCAGAGTTGGGACAGCAAGCATTATGTTTATTGAATGCTATTGGTATCTGCAGTATTTGCCTGCATGTGGTTGGAGAGCAGCGACCACCTACGAGGAAATGAACAACCTGTCCTGGAAACTGAATTGTGATCATTGTTTAGCTTGCTGAAATACCATGCACCGAATCTTTTATAGATTGCTGATGATATTTGTTTGTATGTGTATTGTACGTGTGGTGCCTTATTCTATTGCATGTACTTTTCTTTTGTGTTCCTTCGCAGTCTCAGTGCCTCACTCACCAGTCTCTCGCACCGACACAGACCGCACAGACACATGAGGACGTCGAACTTTGCGCCTTTTGTGCCACGGACGACATTGAACAGGCGCACCGCGTCACCCGCGACGTGCACGTATTGGGGGTGCGTGTGTGCCGGTCGGGGTGCCGCGAGCAAAGAAGCCGGACTATCAAATCAACTGACGCAGTTGAATGACTTGAACTCTTGACGAACGAACAATCGAACTGGAGATCTAGAACCTGATGCTCCGGTTCAACTCGATAGAGTTGTTGATTTTTCAGACTATATATTGATATTATGTACTATATGAGACTTGCGAATGCACCGGAAACCGGAAACACAACTCCCACTATTCCGGCAAGTCTGGTTCCGGCAAATCTATGCAATATACCATATACCCGGAAGACTTGGGCTTCATGTTTTTTCCGCATGCCGTGACACTCAACGGTGCGCTGCTATCTCTCCGCGGTCGGGTGGGTGTTGTCCGAAGTGCCGCGAACTCCAGAGTTTCACCGGTGAATGTTCGGTTCCAAAGCAACCTGGGTGAGCGATGATGGGTAGAAAATGATGGAACTATGGAACATGTATGAACTTGTCGCTTGTGATTTAATGGAAACGATCCTGGGCTGGTTGACTCAAAGCAAAGCTGCGGCCAAGCCGCGGAATTGTGTTTGGACATGTGATGAGTCGGGCGAGCTTCCGAGACGGATTCGGTTTCTAATGTTCCAACAACCTGAGAAATCACAAAATCATTAGGTTTTAGGCTCAGGGGTTCTCACACAACTGTGGCTGCATTGCATTCGAGACTTGTGTCCTGTATCTGGCATCCAGTACCTTTGGTCACCCAGGGGTTTGACACTGTCAGGAGGCGGAGGAGCTGCCTCCAGAGTTCCTTGAGCACTTGGCTGACTTGGCAGGACTGTGGCGTTTTCACACGCCATGTCGCGAGCAGGGCAGGCATCACATGAAATCAAGAGAGACGACACTAGTGTTTGGACTGAGAGACCCATGGCGGTCCAGGGGGCGAGGAATTCCCTTGAATTGGACGCCCAGCGAGCCAGTACCCTAATAGTCCTTCAGCGTTTTGGATTGATCACACTTGTGTTGTGTCACATGTGTCACCATCTTCAGTGGCAGAAGCTTTAAGGGATCGTCTTAGATTTCGAGAACCACAACGACGTTTATATAGAAACCAGGACCCGTTTCAAACCACTGCAGTTTGAGAGCCTGCAACATCAACACGAGAACAAGACAGATTGGTAGACTCTTGGTTTAGAAAAACATCTGGATTGTGGAACCTCTTCCTATATGGGTGATGTCATTATACGGGTGAGTCTAAGGCTTGGAAGAACCTGATTCATTTGGGGGGCTCACGCACCCGACGTGCGCACGCCGGAATCTGCCAGTCTTTGGAGGAATCCGTCCACAGACGGCACCGCAAAGCCTGTGACGGCTGAGGCGTTGAGGGCGCTGACCTACTAGCTTCTTGTTACTACTAGCGATGGCCGGTGGCCTCCAACCTGGTAGCGATGGCCTCCAACCTACTAGCGATGGCCTCCACCCTACTAGCTTTTCTTCCGATGACGTCTCTTGACGACAGCTCGTAGGCGTGTTTTGGTTGCCTATTGGCTCTTGACTGTACCTGCAACGAAGTGCCAATTTTCCATCATGTTCCATCCGTTTTCCTGCATCGGGCCACACAGAAGTTCTTGCGCAGTCTAGCCTTCTTTTGGCTCCAGTTAACGGCTTCCCACCGCCAGTCGACAGTCAACTCGTTGTTTCTTTGGAGCTGGTGTGCAAAGTCAATGACCTGAAGGGTCTTAAGATATCTTAAGTCTTAAAAGGACACGGACAGCCAGCACAAGCCAGAACTCAGAACTGGGCTGGGAGCAGCCGGCGCCTCTCCTCCATTTGACTTGGATGGTGGTTTCACCATGTTTTACATTCATATTACAGTAATATACAGTAGCATTATGGTCTATAGGTTCCTTTTCTATCTCAAATGACTTATGTGTTTCAGGTGAGTTGACAGACTTGGCCGGTGTGTCGACTTCCCTGCCTGACCAGCAGCTAGCAAGTTACTTCATGAAGTGGGGTCTTTTGTGGTGATCACTATATACAGTTGCTCCTAGTATCCAAAACCTTACCCGCGCCCCACGATGGGTTATTACATTCCGCGAGCGGGTGTGAAGAGAGAAATCAACCTGGGGGAGGACATGGGTCAACTCAAAATAGTCACTGGCCTATACATGGTGATTTCCCAGATTGGTCTTCGGGCCTCCAAGACCGATGCCAGTGGTGTGTCATGTGGTATCATTGCAGGCGAAACAGACATCTGAGATGAGGAAATTTGGAGCCACAACATGTGTTCAATGGCGGCTTAACCGAACTGGTTCACGCCACGCCATGCGATCATCCCCTTGTTCCTAGTAGCTTCTTGTTAGTAGCGATGGCCTCCAATAACCTACTAGTAAATGGGCAATGGCCTAACTGTTTTCACGCCGGATCCACCAGAAAGGGAACTATGGATGGCGTTCCGTATACCAAATTAGGGACGTTCCGGGCATAGGATATTCCGGCCAAAGGTTTTGTCCTAGCTTTGTGTTATAATACTCACGGCAAATCCCTATTACCAGTAACATCCAATTACCAGTAACATCATTGTGTGAAAGGTCTTTACTAACCATCATCATCTACTGTTACTGCCACTAGACGTTTGTGGGCACAAAACATGCCTAGATAAGATGCAATGCGGAAACAAATCCACTGTTACTGGTCATGGGATGTGATTTGATTGATATGATATGTATATATAAAGTACAATATAAGATATATATATATATATCATAGTTGTTTTTCTTGCGCCACCTGTATGTAGGGTGGGTGAAGTCTTGCGAAGTTTGGACACCGAAATGCGAAGTCGGGGACCACACATCGTCAAAGCCGAAGGAATCGTCTCCAGTTGGAACATATTGAACGCCTAGAGGCCACAGTTTTTGTTGGGATGACCCGCGGACAGTTTATTGGACATTGCGAATCGAGTTGGGAATTACCTGTGTTTTGACAAGATTAGACTGATTATGAGAGAGTTCTACATGTCGTGAAGATTGTTTGATATGGCGACGCTGAAGTTTCAGCCCATGGGTCCAATGCCAGCATGGGTTTTCCTCGGGGCAGCTCCCAACAGTTTGTATATACTTTCTTCGCAATGGTACACTTTGTCGATGTCTGTCGTATTTGATGCGAAAAGATTTGGGGGCGCGACCCTGAAAGCGTCAGCCTGGAGGTCCTTCGGTGGTCAATTTTATGAGGAGTGTTTCTTGCTCATCATGTGTCTTCTCTTCGTTTCAGAATGGAGGAACACCCCAGAATGGACTGCCATAGGGAAATTGACTTATCCCAAAAGGACGTTGCAGTTTGCAGACAAGACTCACCACAGATGATCCGTTCAAGCTGATAGTCAGGGTCACTGACAGAACTTGCTGCAAACACTCAGTTTTTCAAGTTTGAAAGTTCTGGAAGGGCACATGAATCCTGTAGGACCTCGTGTGTCCTTTCAGCATCGTGCTGGAGCCTAGCTTTCAATTGCCAGAGGTCCTTCCCTGTCCGAGAAAGATGTGTGACTGTGTGACATGGACTTCTGAAGAGCTGCATTATCAGGAATGGTGCTTTGATGGCCGGGAATGGCCATGCGGGGTTTGCAATCGTCGGGTGTTGAAACGGTTAGAGGAAGTTCCTCGAGAGCCTTCCAAGGCTCTTCCCCAATCCTCGGGACGGTTCTTATGCCAGCTGAGATTGGGGGAGTCTTGTCCTGGCTGACCCCAAGATAAACAGAAGGCCTTTACTTCAAGAACCCTAAAGTTTACGCTTCTTACTCTGTTCCAACATGACACTTGCGGTCTACAGCGGATCGGATTAACACGTCCATTTTGCGTGGCAGGTACAGCACGGTCAGATTTCCACACCCGTTTAAATCTATAATATTTATAAGGCTTTCAGGTGTGGAAATCTGACCGCAACTGAGGTGTCGACATGTTGCACGTAGGATTCTAAGGGGAAAGGGTTTGTGATGTTTTAGAAGTCAAGAAGCGCAACTTTTGGCACCCCAGTGTAGCGTGAAGATGTGTTCTCATCCGCTGTTGTCTGTTGTAAGTTTTCTTTCCTGGGGTTCGCTCTTGGCCATGTTGCTGCATTAAGAGGTGCGGTGGTCAAAATGTGCATTTCCATGCGTTTGTTGATCACACAGAGCTGATTCTGCAGTCTTTCTTTCATTGTGTGGCCAAATGTCAATATGTTGATATTTGCCATTGCAACAAAACACATATACTACAGTGTCTACGGACCATGACCAATTTTTAACTGTATGAGCAAATTAAGGGGTACGGAAATTTCCTGCAGATGTATTGTGAAGATTTGACACGACCAGGACCCAAGAGGTGTCTATCAAAAGACCATCTACTGTATCATGGTCCGAAAACTATGACGACCCAAGCGGGTTCTGACACCTTGTTGAATGACGGACGTGGTCGGTCTTTGTTCCGTGACCCCAGGGCATCATTTGCCATTCTTGTTCATGGAGTTTGGTGCGTCCTTATCAAGCATCATCATCCACTGGGGTGCTGGAATATGTAATACGTAATTACAGATGCATATGTGTAGTCATGTGTATATATATAAATATCATATGCAGCAGAGAGAGAGAGAGAGAGTGAGAGCAATATTGAGATGACTGTTTGTTTCGCAGAGGGTTGACATTGTTAGCCGCTATGACCAGCATGATCTGGCACTTTTGAAAGCTAGAAGCTGCAGGGTTCTGCTTGCCCAACTTACTCGTTGTGAGTGGGTTTGCACATTGGAACCAAACGAGGCAGTCAATGATGTGCTATGCAAGGTGTCAGTGTAAACGTTGTAGCAACATCGTCAGAAAGTTTAACCTCAACTTCTATTGACATCAAACGCGTTGTTTTGTTGCTTTTTCTTTCAGGCTGTCCACTATTTCAAGCATTTTCAAGCATCACTATTGACGAGCCTGGGCTGACGTCCCTGGCACAAATGGAAGAAGCGATTTTCGATCATCCATGCGCCAGAGGTGCTCTGTGGATTGGTTTTGCTTCGACAATAAGTGGACCTAGGCTGTTGCATCAGGCAATGTGTCTCCAACATCCTCACCCAGAGACCCATGCTTTGTCGGCCAAAAACAGTTCCACATCCAGTCCCGCGGCGGGTGGAAATCAAGGGGCTTGGACGGAGAAACGAGGTCAAAGAAGGGCCCATATCCAGAAGACTTGGTGACTTAAGTGGTTTATCTTCCTCAAAAGGCTGCTCAGAATGGAAACTTTGGACTTGCGTTGATCTGACATAGCTGGATTGGAGTGACGTTTAGTACCGGAATAGTTGAACAGGTCTTCAAGACATGTGTGAGTAGGTTCTTCTCAAGTGAGCAGGTCGCCTTAAGAAAGAAGATGGGACTAATCCTGGTAAGTGTTCGTAGCCATTTGAACACTTGGGTGTTGCCTTATTCCCGTCCCACTTTAACCTTCTGATTTGGGTTGATTGAAACGAGGGTAAAGCCTCCGTCCGTGCACCCACCCATGATATCCCACAGCTCTTCCATCAAGCCATAAGTGATCATACAATATCATGTGTATTGATCAAAAGTTGTGGCCAAAAAGTATCAAAGCGTGTGTGGTCACAAGCCAAGCCAAACAATCACCTTGGTATTATTCTTTTGTTGGCGGACAGGGAGCTTCGACATGGTACTATTTGATTTTCTTTGTAAAGGGGATCTTCTTTCCGTTGTGCCAATTGCTGCAAACCAAGCCAGGCAGCCAGATGACGTGGTCATGTGCCACATGTGTTTGTTCGCACTGAAGATATTCGATGACCTGGTCCGCTGCATTCGTTGAAGGCATCGTTTGTGAAATGGCGTGAAATGGTGCTTCATCCCCCGGCATCCCAGGCCATGGTGGTAATGATATATATATATATAATAGGTGCATCAATAATGGATTCAATAACCATGATAAATAGTTGTGTTGCGTTTGTTTATGTAATGGGTTATATAACATCTATACATATATATTTATATATATGCATCATTCATAGTTTTTATATGTTTTTATTTTGGGATCTTTCGCTCAGGAACACCAACCTGGGCATCCAAGGCCGGTCCAAACCGTTGTACTTGCAGCGAGTCAGCGACTGTCAGCAACTGCCGCCGTGTCCTTGTTCAGAACTGGCCATGAAGAATACAGAGGAGTTCAACATGTAAAGACATATTGTGTAAGCAGGCCAACTTGGAAATATTCTGGAATTGTCGTAGCAAACTATCTCGAACCAGAAGATCAGAATGATGACCTGGTCAGCAACAGGATTGTCTATCACGCCACACCAAGCCTCCCCCTTTCTGTTGCGAAGAAATACTGGTTGAAATGATCCGGGATAGGTCGACATGCGAGTCTACGTGTGTTGCAAGCACAGACCATGAGCGACCCACCCGCAGTCAGCCAACGCCGAACCACACCGCTTCCGATCTTGGGCACCCCGTCCTGGCCAGTCGCAGAAAGACCGCGTCATTTCGGCTAGATGTGGAGACAGATTTGAGTGGATCGTGAATCTTGACCAATCCGAAAAGACGAGGACCCTTCGACTTCGACCCTTTCCTTTTTGGTGGTGTCCTTCTGGAGCGGGGAAACGACTCCCCGGATCGCCCAGTCCGCCCGGATCAGCGCCCATGGCGAGGCGTTTGGGACCGGGACGAAAGGGACGAAAGCGGCTCCAACATGCTCCAACTGGTCGATGTCTTTTAACAACGCGTTATTTTATGTATATATATACATTGGGTTTTTGGTTTTTGTCCATCTAAAAGCAGACACACACCATCTAAAGGCAGACAAAACACCGTTGGTTTGTGTTTTTTTCGTGTTGGTCTTCAAACGCCCAGAATTTCCCGGCCTTTTCCGTACTGGGATCGGTCTCTCTGATAGTTCAGCGACTCAGCATGCTTTTTGGGAGTGTTCCTTGTTCTGACTGCGTCCGCTAGTGCAAAAGGGACTATTCTTCAAACAGCCGGTGCGTTGTTTCCGTGATTGTCTATATAGGGATTCCACATGATGAATATGGCATCACTTGGCCACGGAGACCGCTCGGGTTCAGCCTCATGTTACATATATTCGGTGAGGATGAGACACTTCGTGGTGTGATAAACCTGTGGCTCATCCAACTCCGTTCTGGCATGGATTGCATCAAGACTTTACCGAGCGAGGTTCCATGGGAGTAGAATCACGTTGATTTAGCATCCTTTGTCCTTTGTACTAGCCAGCTGCTTCTTGGTGGGGCTGGTGACTCCTTTGTATCAACCCGTTGCAAGAAAATTAACGCGGCAGTCCAAACCATTTGAATATGGTGTGATAAGGGACCGTTGTTTGCTGAATGTAATGTTTGTTACATGGAAGATGTGACCGACCGGCCCATACCAGCACTGTTTAAACATGTATATATATAACCATGTTAAAACGGTTTAGACCATAGAGCACCATAGAGCCCAGAGCCGCCTAAACCAACTATGAACCAAATAAGCTTTGGTTTAGCCGCTGGCGCTGGGCCAGGCAGAGGTTGTGGGGCGACGCTCTGAGCAAGTTCTTTGCACCCAACAGCTGGGACAAGAAGAAGCTGAACAGGAGATGTTCACAGAGCAAAAACCGTGGTTCAAGAAGACAAGAAATGGTATGTGCCCAGCTCCCCAAGATCCTTTCTCGTGTGGTTTAACATGGGAATTGCCCTGCTTTGGGCTGTTGTTGGTATTGACACTCTGTGTGTCCAAAGCCAGGTTGCTTCAATGCAACTACTGTACTTAGATGCTGCAGATACCCCAAATCACTTGGGAATAGTTGCGGCAACAGAAATCAATCGTCGATGTCAAAAGAAGGTCAGATTTAGACTTGGAAAAGCCATGCCAGAACTTCTCAGCTTGAATCATGCCCAGTTCCACGATAAAGTACCGGAGATGCTTAACCATGATTAAACTGAGTTGGGCCGCTACCCACTAGTGGAACTTTTGACACCGGGTATTCAAAATCTAGCCCCAAGCCAAGGCCAGGCCCCCTGGTAGTCAAACTGCTTCATTTTGCCAACCAAAGAAACTACCGTATTTTCACCCATTGACCTCCATTCCTCAGTCCTCTATGGCGTTCCATTGCTTTTCCAGGCTCTCCTGGGGCATCAGCTTTTTGATCTTAGCGTTTGGAGCCCCAACTTCTTTCCGCCTCTCGCTGCCTCTCGCTGGGCTCGGCGGCTCGGATGCTGCCACACCGAGTCGAGGATGCGGTGGGAATCCAAGCTGGGCGTTTGGAGATCTGATGGGATGCTTGAACCTTCTTGTCACGTTCGTTGCGTCCGAACGCTCCGTTCGTAGCGATGCCAGGAGCCCCTAGTAGCGAACCTTGTTCCTACTTGCCAATATTGTTCAAGTGAGTTGAAACCACCAACCATATTCTGACTGTTTCCTATTTGAAGGCACCATCCGGACCGAATGGACTCATTGGTGAACGATACTCGGCCATTTGTCTGAACAGGTTTGAAAGGAAGCACTTGGTTTGGATGTGCCAGCATCTCAACAACGTCGAATTGAAACAGATACACATTTGCATTGCATATACTGCAAAGATGTCGTTGTCGCAATTGTGACAAATCGAAACCATAATTAATAACATGTATATTTGTTATGCAGGATACATATATATATATATGTGTTAATACATAATATATATATATTGCATGTAGATTATATATATACCATATATATACACCTGAAGAAACGATCACCTATCAAAACAAAACGTAGGTCCCATGTGAAAAGACAAAGTTTGGCGGGAAAACCAAGGGTTTTGATGTTCATAGATTTTCACATGTTGACGTAGCGACAGACTGATGTATTTTGTCTTAAGCATGTTGATGAGCGTGCCAGCCACAGAGATTCCATACAGAGCGATGAAATTGTGTCCTCCTGGCAAACCCTCAGAACGCATGGATGTTCTAAGGGGTTTTATGCATTGGACTTTCCACGGGTTGGGGAAAAGCTGGACTTTCTTTTATGCGCAGTGCGGTCGCGCTCGCCTCGCGAACCGTTTTGGCTGATTCTCCCTGTAATTTGGAGGGTTTGTCAACATTAATATTGTCATCGGCTTCACAACATTGTCATCGATTATATAGCCCAGTTGAAGCGGCTGACATTTGGGAAGCCGCACACAACCTGCCACAAGCAGGCGAGAGCGTGCTTACACAATTGAGTTCGCAAAATACCCGACCGTCAACTTTAGTTCGTTAAAATGTGTCCCAACTCAACTAGTGTGAACAAGATTTTGCACTAACCTAAGGGCCAGCATCCTGCCAGGTGGAACAATGGTGGTGCAAACATTCCAAGCGAAAGTGGCACACAATGTACGTCTATTTGGGAAAACAGTTCCAAACATTGTTTGTCATAGCTCATAACTTATGAGTCGTAACTTTGCTCCAACGCGATCTGAGGTTTCCTTGTTACAACCTTGCTGTGTTTCTCAAGGTGAAGTACGCATGTCCGCTGCCAGTGCTTGTTTTGACCTTGGCTCGTGCCGAAACCCTCCACAACCTTTCCTCTTTGTTGGAAGCACCAGAAGCTGCACTCGGATATGCAGAAACGAAGGAAGTTACTTTGCACGGACGAAGGTCATGGCACGGCCCTGCGACTGTTCAGGAGAGCCGAGGCAAAGCTGCTCCAAAGAAAGTGATTTACTTTGATCCGGCCAAGACAGTCAAGGGCAACATCAGTCTGCCCAGTGGCTTAGATCACATGGTGGACCACGGGGCAAAACGGTGCCTTCTTTGCTCTTGACAGATGGAGCATGGTGATGCAACATGATGTCTGCGGCATCGGTGACTGCACAGCACCGGTGAAAGCTATGAGGCCCTGGTCAAAGAATGCAAGTGAAGTCATCCTTGACAAGCTTGAACCACCATACCCGACTGCTCTTGGCAACCACTGGAAGTGAAGTGACAATCGACAATTAATGTAGTCCCTTGATTTATAAACCCCCCCCCCCCCCCCCCCCCCCCTTGAAAAGTAGAGCCTACCTGTACAGGGTTCCACTCCAACAGCTGATATAGTGTGTCCATGCTTGACTGCTTCAAGGCTCAAAAGAGCAAGAGGATAAGACTCTGCGCATAAAAGACACTAGCGGTCTGCACCTCTACCGTGTACGCCCTAGTCACTCTTTCAGTGGTAGCGGAGCAGTGATCCTGGAAGACCCAGGTGAGCTCCTTTCCTAGGCATAGAATTGCTAGTGGGCAAACGGCCATGGATTGGATTGACGACTGGGAAGAGCCTGATGCGGATGTGGCTTATGAGCCAGCAGCCTACGTGAATAGGCATGTGAGAAGAGAACCAGCAGCAATAGCAATGACAACACAGGTCACTACAAAGGTGCCCCCATCTTATGATGGAAAGACTTCATGGTTTTCCTATGAGGATGCCATAGACGATTGGTGTGATATCACCGAGCTGGAAGATGAGAAAAGAGGACCAGCATTGAGAAACAGATTAGAAGGAGAAGCAGCTGTATACAAGCGTGTTTTAGACAGAGATGCATTGAAGGCAAATGATCCACCAGGAGCCGGCGTAGAATATTTCAAACGAGTACTACGACCATATTTCGTGAAAGGATCAACCAATGTATTCCTGTATAGGTTCATGCAATTCGTGCGCTTCAATCGAGGATCAGCTGACATGATGAAATGGATGACAAGATTCCAGATTTTACTCCAAAGGCTTATGAGCAGTTGGATGGACATGTTAGAACCAGTCACTCAGGCACATCCACAAGTCCTAGCTCAGATGCAGGCAGATGCAGCATTGACTGGAACAGCACCAACGGCAGAAAGGATTCAGGAAATCATGCAGACCATCAATGGCAATATGAGAACTTTTCATCAGAATGAATTTCCTCTAGGAGAAAATCTCATTGCCTTACTTATGCTGTCACTTGCAGATTTGTCTCAGGACCAGCGAAACACTTTGACTTCTTTGATGACTCATCGTGGCAGGGTCCTGCAGCAGTATACTACAACAGAGTTGAGGACAGTGTTCATCGAGATGTTCTGCACAACAAAGACTTCAGTAGACAATCCTTTGATGCAGCCGACAGGTGCTGGAGGTAGAAGATCATTTCTCGTACTAGACGAAGGAGAACTCGATGGTACATTTGGCTATTGGGCCGAAGATGAAGAAGATGGAACTGAAGGATTTTTAGATGCCCTGGACGATGTCTTTTGGGTATATGATGATCAAAACTTCTCATGGTTCCAAAGGAGATTCCAAGGAAGAAGAGCCAGAAAAGGCAAAGGAAAAGGAAGAAGAAAAGGAAAAGGAAAAGGAAGATCAGGCCGCAGATTCTTCAGACCTCGTGGAAAAGGAAAAGGAAAGAGACGAGGTAAAGGCCATTTTGCTGATGAGCAACAGACAACATATCCAGAAGAGTACTTTGAAGAGAATCCTTATGAGGATACTTGGGAGTCAAACCAAGTAGCATATGATGCCATTCTTGCCGAGGATATGAATGACTATCTTCAAGGAGAATATGATGATGCCAATGACTTCTGGCAACAGCTTGAAGAAGCATGGTTTTCCCACAAGGGAAAAGGAAAAGGCAAGAGAAAAGGCAAGAAAGGAAAAGGAAAAGATAAAGGAGATGGCAAACAAGATGCAAACTATGCAAATCCACAACAGCCACGTTCTTTACCTGCACCTTCAAGATCTTCACAAGCATCAGGAGGTCAACAAGGTTTCTTTGCACATTGTGTGACAGCAGCAGCTGAAGTCCATGACAGTGAGGTGGACTTGCTGTCAGGCATGATGACCTCATGTCAAGATGAAGCTGACTGCGCGGTCAACAATGGTGAGACGATCTTCAATGGCATGGGTGCCCCTGTGAGGTACTCTTTGTCAAAGGAGATGCTCACAAAGGCTCCTGATGGCTTTGCGCTTATGAGCGCTGAGGAAGAAGTGAAGGAGATGCAGGCCATTTCATTTTTGACTGAGAATCGCTTCCCGCCGACTATTGCAATCCTGGACATTGGATGCACTAGAGCTATGGGATCAAGGCGAGCAGTCGACCATTTTTGCAACTATGTCGACAATCACCCAGATTGTGGATTATGGTACTCCTTTGAGGCTACCAAGAGCAAGTTTTACTTTGCCAATTCCCAGAAGGCTACTTGCTCTCAGAAACTGGTGATTTACATGTATGATCGCGCATGGACGATCCACCATACAGAGTTCGACATAGTGGAAGAAGGAGAAGTCCCTCTGCTTATGAGCTTGCCACAGATGAGGAACTTAGGCTTTGAACTCAGGCTGACACCTCAACATGCTTATCTGACATCGGTGCCTCTTGGTATCAAATATTTGGAGTTGAAGGTTGCAGCCAGTACTCATCTTGTCTTGGACTTCCAAGATATTGCATGGTATCTGTCTGACGTGAATTTGCAGACTCGGCGCGAGAAGAGTTTCTACTCTCACTTCACTCACTATGAATATGGTCATATTTCTGTTGATCACAATAGTGATGAAGATGTAGCTGAACATGCATATCCTGTGGTTGACTACTGTGAAGTAGATGTTCACAAGAGAGAACTGATACGTCACCACAAGGATTATAGAAAGATTCTTTTTCCAGCAACTAAGTCCTGTCCTGTAGACACTGACTTACTGGAAGACTTGCGACTGACAATCATCAAGAAGAAGAAAGGAGGAGAAGAGATCAAGAAGCAAGATGATTGGCGCAAGGCAAAATGGAAGGACCTACAAATTGGCTATGAATGGCGTGGTAGAACAATTTTTAAGTTCAAGCCAGATGCCAAAATTCCAGATCTAAAGATCAGGAAGGCTGGCATTGAGCACCGTGGCATTGGTGATCCCGATGCAGTGGTGCGCTCCTCCTCAGAGAAGGTTCCCATTGCAAAGGACAGGGAACCAGGCTTCTCATCAGAGAAGGAAGGTGCACCATCCAGTGCCGCGGAAAAGCCCGCGCCGCCAAAGTTTCGGTATACTTCCAAGGGTTTTGATCCATTTTGGAAAGGACACAAGTCGAAACCATCTGAACCTCAGAATGATTTAAAGGGTGATGATCTTGAGGAGTATGCTCCCTCAGAACCACCTGAGAGGCCAGAAGGTGAACTTGTAGAAATTCCTAAAGCATCAAAAGGACC